ACGTCCAGCTGTTCCTGCCACCCCCATCCACACCGGCATCCTGCAGGAAGCCCATTTCTGTCTGCAGAGGGTGCTGCTGGAAGCATCTCAGGGAACATTATGGGGAGGGGTGACTGGCTTGGCTCTGGGCCTGGCATTGCTCCAGGCCAGAGGGCAGATGCTGGGGAAATGACTTCAGAGGGGTCAGGGAGGGGAGGAGGCGGGAGTGGGCTTCCCAGGTCAGGTGCCCTCTCCATCCTACCTCGCTGCGCCTTCCCCAGAAGCCAGGAGGCTTCGCCCCGCCGGGCAGGGGGCTGGGCGCTGACTCTTTCCTGGCCAGACTCTGGACCAATCAGCAGTTTCTGACCTGGAGGCACAGACACACATGCCTGGCTTGCCCGGTCCTGTCCAAGGGGTGGCAGCACTGAAGCAGGGATCCCATGGAGCAGGGGAGCGGTCCTGAGGCTGGCTTCACTGGGAAACAGCGAGGGAAGCATATCCTCTCACTTGCCCCACAGTAACCCTGAAGGTAGGAACTATGGTCCCATCTCAGCGATGACACTAGACAGGCGATGCCACTCTGCAGCCGCTGTTTTGATTTCCTTTCATTTCGGCTGGGAAGGGGTTTACCGTGGGAATGGCTGATTGTGCAGTGTGGCTGGGGTGGGGGGCAGGGAGCTGAGTGATGGGCGCTTCCACCCTCTATCCTGTTTGTTCCACTCGGTGTTCATTATTCAGCTTCCTTCCACAGGATGCCAGAAGCCCGGGATAGGCCCCAGGGGTCCCCAGCAACACTCAGCATGGCCCGTGCTGTCAGGAGTTGGCAGCTGTGTTCATGCGTGTGCTGTGTGTGCATGTGTCGATGGTACAGGTACATACAGAGGAGTGTGCAAGACTCCCCGCATTCACCAGAGCACAGCAGCCATGCAGCGTCTTCGCCACTGTGTACTCAAAACCTATAACACGGGCGCAGCCTGTCCCGGTGTGCCCAATGCATGGTCACTGCCAGGGAGCCCCGGGAAGTATGGGGGCGGGAGGCAGAAAGGACTGAGGCACAGACACAAGGATGAATCTCCCTGGGAGCCCCAGTTTTCCCAGAACCTGGCCAAGCCCCAAAAGGGGAGGCAGGTGGGTAAGTATCACCTGAGGCTGCTGCTCTGATAATCCAGACAGGCTTAAAGAAACAGGAGCACATGCTCTCCCGTCCTGGGCCCAGAATCTGAAATCTGGCTGTGGATCATCCTCCATCATCCTACTTCAGGGAAAGACCTGGGAGGTAAGGGTGGGGCTTTGGATCATCCTCCATCATCCTACTTCAGGGCCTGGCAAGCGGAGGAGTCCCTGAGCCAAGTTAACTGCACTTCCCACCGACTGGGAGGTGTCCATTAAGTATTCACAGGATGAATGAACGAATAAATGAGTGAACCTTAACCCACAGCTTCCAAAGACCCCAGGGGGAAGCTTGGCTACTTAGGTCTCTGTCCCTCTTCAGGGGAAGGAGGCATTGGTCATCCTGGCCCCAGAGATGCCCACGTCATGAGTGTCCCCTTCCCCCTGCTGCTCCTCAGCCTGGGGCCCTGCTTACCTGGAGTCCCTGTAGCAGAAGCTGGTGGAGGCTCTGCTAGGACACAGGCAGGATGGAGATGGGTGGCCAGGTGCTTTCCCAGTGCAGGCCTGGAACATTCTAGGCTGGCAGACATTCTGCCTTTCCTACCCACCACTGGCCACCGTGGCTTAATCTCTCATACCTGGGAATGGAGTGAGCTCTCAGGGGCTCAAAGGCTGTGTGTGTGTGTGTGTGTGTGTGTGTGTGTGTGTGTGTACTGACATTCAGTGGTGCCCACACAGCCACACCAATTACTAAAATAGTGTAGTATTTCTTTACTGATTGACTGACAGTGCCTCCAGGCCAACCCCTAGGCGGCCCTGCACTTCCCATCAGTCCACAGAGCCGGCCCCCATTCCAGCTCCAGTCTGACTTTCATTCCCACTGGTCAGTGTCCAGCACCGCCCCCCTGAGTCCAGCTTCCTAGACACTTCCAGGGCACTGACACTGGCTCCCCTAAGGACCAGAGAGCAAGCTGGCACCCACCTGTTTCCTGCCTGGCCCCAGGGAGCTGTGGGTGGGCACTGCCCAGGGGTACCTTGCCTACTGGTTCAGCAGCCAGGCCACGGTGGGGCTCATATGCCTGAATGTTGCGGGGAGAGAGAGCAGCCTGGGGGTGACCTCCATCCCCACAGAAGGCCTGAGAGCAGCTCAGCTCACTCAGCAGCTCAGAGGGAAGCTGGAATCCCCAGGAAGTCTCCAGACAGATGAAGGGCTCTCAGGCCCCCCAGGAATTAGTGAAGCTGGACTGTCCCTTCTGTGTGCAACTTCAGGCTGACTCGGGATCCTCCCCAGGAGAAAGCAGGAAGGGGCCCCACTGCTCTGTGTTTGGTGACCAGATTCCACAAAAGTTGGGGCCACGGTCGGTCTGACAACACAGCACAACCGTGGGGTTGTCCGAGGACTCCTGGATAGTGGGAGGACGGAGGGTGCCGTGAGTCAGGGCCTTGTGGTTCCGGTCCTGGCGCTGGCACTTGCCGGCTGAGAGGCCTGGGCCTTGCCATCAGGGGTGGACCCGCCAGAGGAGGCAGCTAGGGGACTGAGCAACTGCTGCCTTAGTAACTGCTGCCTTTTCTCAGTCCCCTCTGACGACTTTTACAAACAAGGTTTTGAGCCCATTCCCATGCTATGTGGCCAGGGCTGCACAAAAAAGGCGGAGGTGGAGCTAGAATGCAACCCAGGTCCTCTGGCTCCTAATACATGGCAGAGGCACAACTCCTTTCCTCACAGACAAAAACCGACACAAGGTCACACAGTAGGCTCTTTTTGCTTTGGTCATGAAGGGCTATTGAGGTTTGTGCGTTGGAGGGTGGTTTGAATTCTAGATTCCAGCCAGCCACATTCTTCCTAGTAGCTAGGCCTGAGGAAGCCTTGGGGAAGGAGAGCCGTATAATTGGCAATAGTTCCCTTTTTTGCTTTGACCGCTGGGGAAGCCCAGAGGCAAAATTAAATATGGGTTTTGCCCAACCCTGTATAGTTCGTCTGAACAACTGGAGCTCAAGGGTAGCGGCTGCTTTCGTTTTGCCATTCAACCTGGTTGACGGCTCCTGCTGAGCTGAGCAGGATTCTGAGGCTGCAGAGAGTGATGGCCTTAAGAATAGTTGGGAGCATCTGGGCTCAGAAGAGAACAGTGATCAATTAGTGATGTCTGCTGTGAGCACTCCATCTCCCTTTGGGGTACATCTGTGGCTACATCGAATCAGGGCCTTGAGAATCTGAAGTACTGTGATGTAGTAACCACCTCCGAGGGCTGCTAACCATGCAGGTTCCTTGCCCCCGGCTCAGAATGGCTGCATCAGAATTCCCGGTCCCTGGAATCTGCATTTTGCCAGAGAGACCACAGACCTGGGCCTGGTGAGGGACTTGCAGGAACTGGGACAACTCTCCTAGGCTGGGGCAGCATCGCCACCTGGTGGATTCTTCTGGAATGCCATCTGTTGCCCTTCCTGTCCTATTGTAGGGAAGCAAGTCCCTCCACCCAACCCCTCTGCCTCTTCCAGGGCCCCAAGAAGTTGGAGAGGAGGAGATGGTGAAGCAACACCATCTTTCCCGCTGACTTCCACACCCATCTCAGCGGAGAGGGACCTCCCGTGACATGCCTCACAGCAGCAGTGCAGGCTCATGCAGCCAGGCCTGGGGAGCGCTGGGTCTCCCTGTGAGCACAAGTAAGAGCTTCCTTCAAGGTCCACATTGCACTGTAAAAGCTCCTGAATGCTGCACATCTTTTGCCATCACATTTCTTTAATACAAAAATGCTTCCTACCTTTGTCAAAACCAGATGCTCAGAAAGAGCCCAGGCTTGTCCTGCGGCCTCCCTGACCCCTCCCTCACCAGCCCACTTTCTATACCTTCTGGGGCCACCTGGTCTCAGAGGCAGGAACCTAGAGGTACAATCTACACGCCTGTTTCGATATACAAATCAAATTCCAGCCACACGGGCAGCCAGGCGGATGGACCGAGGCACGGGGCTGACGAGGGGGCCAGAGGTGCCGAGAAAGGGCCCCGCCCTGGGAACAGCAGTGGGTGCCACCACGCTTCCCCGCCACTTCCCTTACACCCTCTCCCTCCCCTCTCATCCTCCAGGGCCCGGGACGCAGCACCCCCGAGTCAGACCAGATTCTTACAAATCCTCTTTAATGGTCAGTCTTCAGATATGCAGCGTGCTTTACAGAGTGGCACACGGAGCCCTCCTCACCCTGCAAAGCACAGCCTCACCCACCCACTCCTGGACAGCTCAGGACCAGGCGAACAAGGGGGCGGCTCTGTGCCACACCCCGGGGACGCACCCCTTGGGTTCCCTAAGCAGCCCAGGGCCAGGCCAAGCCCCCTTCAGCCTGGCTCCATGGTGGCCCGGCAGATCGGAGTTGCCTGGCTGGGGCGGGGTCAGGCCTGGGGAGGGGTGCCTTCGCTCATGTCGTCGAGCAAAGCCTACCCTTTCCCACAACCTTTAATGAAAATAGGAGAGCCAAGGTATAAGCCTTATAGTGGAAAGACAGTTGACCCACGCGGTGGGTAGTCCCCTGACAGCCCAGGGTGCCTTATCTACCCCTCCCCCCGTTTTTAATACATGTTCCCCCTTACAATATATATATATACATCCCCCGAGGCAGGTAGAAACCCAGCCACCTGCGCAGAATCCCATCTGTTGGGATTTTGCAGGGAGGGTTTTCGTTGAGTTGCTCAAAGAACTCTGGCGGGCAGCGAGTGGAGAAGCCACAGCACAGCCGGGCTCCAGGCTGGAGGCAGAGAGGCAGGGAGGGGTCCAGGCCCCGGACAGCCCCTCACTCCCGGCAGCACAGGGCGGCACACAGGTGCCTGAGCAGGGAGGAGGGCGGCGGGCCGGGAGGAGGGAGCCAGGGACGCCCTGGGAGCCCTGAGGTTGGGGGCTGGGCGGGGAGGCAGGGCAGCAGCTGCCTCAGTACTTGGGGACCTTGCTGTAGTCCTCGGAGTGCACGTTCCGGCACAGGCAGATGGACAGGAGCATGCCCAGGAGCTGTGGAGGGAGAGGGCGGGAGTCAGCGGAGGTGGGCTACCCAGCCCCCAGAGGCCCCGGGGCAGCACCCCCCTGGCCGGCTCCACACACAGGGAGGAAGAGGACCCTCACCCAACTGCACAGCTCAGTGATGGAGCATCGACCTATGGACCAGGCCATGGCTCAAATCCCCCTCAGGGCACATGCCCGGATTCCAGGCTCTATCCCCAGAGTGGGACGTGCAGGAAACGGCCTATTGATGATTCTCTCCTATCATTGATATTTCTATCTCTCTCTCCCTCTCCCTTCCTCTCTGAAATCAATAAAAGACTGAGAGAGAGAGAGAGAGAGAGAGAGAGAGAGAGAGAGAGAGAGAGAGATTCCTCAGCTATGGCCTCATGATCAGCCTGAGATTCCGGTAGCAGAGGGCCAGGGGACAGTGCTCAGGCCAGGCTTGCCACAGTGTTCTCCCCCTCCCGCAACCCCCCCAGGACATCAACACAGCAGGGACAACCCACGGGGACAGAGCATGGGGAGAGTTGCAGAGAGGGGACACGGACCTCAATGACAGCGACGCCCACACACACGCCTAAGATGGTGCCCAGGTTTTCCTGCAGCCACGACTGCACCATCTCCATGCAGCCCTGCAAGGGAAGAACACAGCCACGTCACCCCATCAGGCAGCACCGCCGGGGGCCACCCCAGCCTGGAGGGGCCTGTGTGTATCCTGAATAGATATATTAGTGAATAGGTGATGAAGGGACAGATGATAGGCAGACAAATGGATCAAAGGCAGGAACAACTCAGTGGAGGAGGGGGAGAGGAAGGAGCGGGAGCCCAGCCCCTGGACCCCACAGCCCTCTGCGTACCTGCTGGTACACGGGCCACTGCTCCGGGTTGTTGTCGCCCTGGGTCCCGTTGCCACTCAGGGTCCCGTTGACGTCGGAAGCCTCGCAGAAGCCCTTCTTCACGAGGGGGCTGCCGTCCTCCCCCTTCTTCTCGCAGGAGCAGGGGTAGGTGATGGTGGTGCGGTTCATGAGGTCAGCGTTTTCGGTCCAGTTGTAAAAGCTGACCCAGCCGCAGCACTTGCCCTGGGCAGAGAGGGGACAGGATGCTCATGCCCATGCCCATCGGGCAGGCTGCCCTCCTGGCAGAGGTGGGGCCGCCTGGGAAGAGGCTCAGGTCTAGGTCTCCCTGGTCGGTCCCAGCCACACCTCCAGGACTTGAGTTGTCGAATTTAAGTTTTGCTTCGGCTTCTGTGAGCCACGAAGAATGTAAAGGGAATTTTGGGAAACACATACCATACACTGCTAAACAGTAGGAAGGAAAAAAAAATCAGGACATAACTAGCAAAACTAGGAAGCGGAACAGGAGGGAAGTTCAGGTTGAAAGGCAGAACACAGGGTGGGGACAGGTAGGAGGGCAGATGGCACTCGGCTAAGGGTGCGGGGTCTGGAGTCTGAGTTCAAATCCCAGCTCTGGCACCTACCAGCTGCTCAGCTTTGGTCAAAATACTGACCTCAGTTTCCTCATCTGCAAAATGGGGTGATACGTTTTCTAACTCCCCGTGACTATGACTAAACGGGACGAGGCAGGCGCAGCGCCCGGCACAGGACTGGACAGCACAGTAATTGCTTAGGAAAGGCCAGTTCCACTGCCAGGGGCTGGGCCCATGCTGGAAATGCCCCAGGAAAGCAGAGTGGGCCAGAGTGGGGGCGGGCTCCTTTCAAATCCTGGCCCTGCCCTGTACATGGGCAAGCCGCTGCCTTTCTCTGGGCTGGACTCCTCCCCTGGAGAATGGGATGGCAGTAACCACTAGGCTGGGATCCCTGGGAGTACTACATGAGTTGCATGGGTGAGCTGGGTGCGCTGCAAGCCACGGTGCCCAGCACATGGTCAGTTCCTCACCTGCTTCCTTCCCATCTCAGTGATGAGTCCCTGCTAAGCAGCCCAGTCGCCAGCAGGGGGCGTGCCGAGCATCTCCATCTCGGGTGTTCTGGGGCTTCTGATTGTACTTTTTATGTTGCTTTTGCCTATCTGCCTTCTCTCGGAGATCCTCCCACAAAGGGGGGCGGCTTTCCTTGACCTTCCACTGCACCAGGCGGAGCCTTCCTCTCCAGCACCTCGTGCTGAGGTCCGAGCCCAGACACCACCCACCCTGTGTCTCAGTGGTTGTGCGTGGCGAATGAAACACCACGTAAGTGCTAAGTGCTGCCTCAGTGCCACGGGCTTTACAAGTTCACCCCACGAATGAAATTATGACGATCTAAATGAGTATGGATCCATAGCCCCGTTTTATAGGTGAGGAAACTGAGTTTCAGAGAAGGTCTGGCCAGGAAGGGACCAAGTTAGTATTCCAGTCGTCAGGAGCCTGACTCACAGTCTCCGTTCTTGACCACCTTCCCAAGTGGTGCCTGACAGACATCAGAATCACCCAGAGCCTTGCCAGCTACAGGGAACCCCCGACCGGCCAACTACCTTCCCCTGTGGATGTTCCTCAGCTCCCAAGGTCTCCCTGCTACCCCAGGCTCCTTGAAAGGTGGCACTTGTTCATCCTGGGACAGCCACTCCCTCCAACCTGAGCAAAGCACCTCAGGAATTGTGGGTCACACTTATGGTGTGACGACCACAGGCCCCTGTGTGCACCCAGCCCTCCAGGTGACCCAGGCCCTCCTGCCTGGCCTCATCAGGAAATCCGAGAGGCACTCAGACCAGAAAACACCCTCCCCCTTCGCAGCTCAGAAGATCATGCCCACGTCTCCTGGGCAAAGTTCCTCCTCAGTCTCCAGACACTCCTGCCAGTTGGTGCCAGCGGGTCCTACATGATTGCTGTGCCCAGCGTCCTCCGGAGAGAGAGGAGGCTGCTGCCCAGAGGAGGGGTCCTGGCCAAGGGCACATGAGAGAGGAGGCTGCTGGGACCTGATCACTGAGCTGATGTGTATGTGATGATGGCTCACCACCAGGGCAGCTGGGAGCCTGGTCAGATGGCCATTCATTCATTCATTCATTCAACCAGTTATTTATGCAGTCAGTCAGTTATTCCATCATTCATTCAGTCAGTCAGTCAGCCATTTTTTCAGTCAGTCAGTTATTCCATCAGTCATTCAGTCAGCGTGCCACATAGTCCTTCATTCTGTTAGTCGGTCACTGGTCTCCGCCTCTCCCACTTTAATTGAGGTGGAATACACATAAGCTAGTGTACACGAATTCAATCTGTGAGTTTTATCTGCGTGCCGGCATAACCACCTGGATCAATGACTAGAATAGCCTCTTACCCCAGAAGTCCCCACGGGCTCCTCCCTAGAGGTAGCCTCCATTCAGACATGGCACCCCGTTTCTTAACCTCCAGGGCAGAGCTCCCATCACTGGCCAGCCTGGCTTGTGGTGAGAGGGCCAAGAGTTGACCCCTGCCCTCTGGCCACAGGTGGGAGCACTGTGAGCCACGGGACAGCCTCCAAGACCCAGGGCCCCTGAACAAGGAGCTGTGCTGGTGGCTGAGGTGCCAGAAGGCCCCCTTCGACCCCCCATCCCCGCATCAGATACACACTCACACAAACTCGCTAGCTAACCTATTCTGCCAGGTGCATACAGGCACACGGACGACCAGACCCAGACACAAAGGAACCCACAGGCCTGGAACCTCACGCTGGCCACCCCTCCCCATGCAGCTTACCTGTGCCTGCACGTAGTCCCAGCCCTGCTGCAGGCTGTCCTCCTGCCCGTCCTTGTAGTCCCGGATGAGCTTGGTCACGATGCTGCCCATCTCCCGCTTCACCTGCGGAGAGGAGAGCTGGGGTCAGGTCTGATTTCTGGAAACCCATACCCACTTCTGGTCACATCGACACTTAAACCGAGCCCAGGGACATGCTTATGGGGCCACAGCACTTCATTGTCCATTCCGACCGCTCTCCTGACACTTACCGTTGGTTACCAAGCTATGCCCCGTGCAGCTAGGACCACTCCTGCCCTGCAGTCTATTCGGCACTCGGCAGCCGCAGGGCCCTTTAAATGTGAATCTTTCCATGTCACTGCTGAAAACCACCCCCAGTCGCTCCCTGCAGCTCTCAGGACAAATGCCAACATTCTCTCAATGCCTACAGGGCCCTGCCTCTTCTGTCCCCTGATCTCTGCAAACCTGGTTCTTTTTATTCTTGTCCCCTCTGCTTCCATCCCACTGGTCTCCTAGCAGTCTCTGTGCTAGGCTCTCTCCTGCCTCAGGGCCTTTGCACTCGCTGTCTCTCTGCCTGGAATCCTCTTCCCCTGACTCCCTTCTTTACATCCTTCAGGGCTCTGCCCAGATGTCACCTCCTCAGACAGGCCTTCCTGGACCACCCTACAGGATAGCGTCCCTCCCCTCCCCACACCCTCCTAGCCCTCCTTGTCTTGTATTTTCTCCATAACATCGTCATCATGTGATCATTTGTTTCCAGGATTTATCAGCCCCACTTATCCCCACTGAGAATGTCGGCTCCGTGGGAGCAGGAATTGTGTCTGTGAGCCCGGCCAGAGTAGGTGTGCGGTGTCCACAATAAGGAACATGTGCAGAACCACTGCTATCGATATCTGCACGCACCCCAAAGTCCTCATGCACTCGCCCACAGTCCTCATAACCACCTCTGTCTGCACGCACCCACTGTCCTCATGCACGCAACCTGTCTACCCTCACGCCTGCCCTGGGCCCCACAGAATCCACATCCTGGCAGTGCTGGTCGCCATGCTCAGGAATTCAGAGGCCCACAGTGAAGAAGAGAAAAGCACACTCGCTTTCCACTAAACGCACAGAGAAGCACTGAATTACAAATAAGGCAGATGAGGAGTGCAGGATCAAAAGAATTCACCCCAAAGGCCTCTCACTGGGGTCCTGAACCGAGGACCTCACTACAGCAGCTTTTCAGGAACGAGGCAGCTGAGCGAAGGGACGCAAAGCGAAGCCAGCCCAGACGGCTGAGCACAGGACTTTCCCCAGTGACTAGAACGGCCCCATGTGGGACGGGGCCCCGGAGCCAGCCCTGGCCTGGCCCCACCGGGCCTCTCCCGTGGACCTTGCCAAGGCCCGGCTCAGCATGCACAGGCTGGTTGTGGTCTCCCCAGGGCAAGGGGCCCCGAGGACAGCCGCACACCTGCCCCTCAGTCCCTGAGAAAAGGGGGTGAGGGAGCGGGGACAGGTGCTTCCAGGCAGGGGCTTTCACAGCCTGGCTCTGAATCCTGCGCGTGGGACTTCCGCCAGCGCCCCACAGGCAGCCGCGCCTGCTGTGTTCAGAGAAACCACATCCTCCGGATGGACCTGTGGCCTGGCTCCTGGGCCTCCGTCACGAACCTGGGGAAACCAGCCCGAGGGACTCGCTCTGCCCTCTCCCTCTCGGTAAAACGCTTTGCATGTCGCTTCTTGCTTACTCCCCAGAGCTCGCTACAGTTCACCACGCTTTCCGGTCAGTAACAACAAGCCCCGTGGCTAACGTGGACCGAAGGCTTGCTTTGCACCAGTGCTGAGCTAAGCACTTTTTGTGCAGCATCTCACTTCAATCCACAGAGCAGATCTGTGATCTGGGTACTAACCTTGCTCCCTCATTTTAGAGATGCAGAAAAGGAGGCTCAGAGAGGCTCGTTAACTTGCTCAATGTCACACAGCCAACAAGTACAAAAGCTGAGGTTTGAATTGATTAAAAATCCCAAGCTTTTTCCCATTCGGCTCTCCTGGCATTTTAACCACATGGCTATTCCTTGAAGTGGGTCATAGCACCTTTAAGAAGGGCCCAGAGAAGCCTAGTGGTTGACCTCTGCCGCATAGCTGGGGCTGTCCACCTGCAGATCTTGTATCTTTCTGCTCCCACTACCTCTGCTCCCCAACTCTGCCCCAGGGAACTGGTGATCTCTGAGGTGTGGAAAGAAGGGGGTTCCCCAGAGGCATTTGCTTGGAAAGCCACCTCTCCCACATCCTCTCACGGCGTTCCCCCACTGACCCAGGCTCTATTTACACCCCAGTGTGGTTGCCACAGCGGCCTGGACTTCCCTGTTTCAGGCCCTCCTGAAATGAGAAGGTGATGGGACCTACGTGCTTTTCACTGACATGGGGTGGTTTCCATGGAAACACCACATCATCCTCCAGCCCAGAAGGTGGCTGAAGGCCACGGCCGAGCCACAGGGCCCATGGCTGCAGGAGCTGGTTCAGCTGGCAGCTGATGTCTGGGGATCCCAATCCCAAGGCCGTGTTGCCCAGGGAGGTCACCCTGGCAACCGGGCGACTCCTGAGACAAGGAGGAGCAGGGAGATAGAGTGAGAGGATGCTCCACAGGCTGCCTCTGGTTCCTGATTGCCCTGCACTTATTCTCCCTTCTTCTTGAAATAACAGCTCCTTTCCTTAAGGGGCAGCACCCCTCAATCCATCCATGTGCCTGGCAGGCCTCCTACTTCCCCCCCGCCCCCAACTCAGGGAGAGAGAAGGAAGGAGCACAGCTCTCCTGACCATACTCTCTGAGGACCCCAGGGCAGTTGGCTCAGACAGTGCCCTGACCCCTCACCTCCAGCTCCCACCCAGACGATGCGAGCCCCTCCCCTGTCAAGCTCTCATCCCCCAGGCCTTCTCCTGAGCCCTTGATATAACAACGGCATCTGTGCAGGCTGCTGGGCAGGTCGGAAGTGTGCCCTGCGTGAGTGCAGTCAGCCCGGTGCCAGGCACGTCATAGGCAGCACAATCAGCCCACTTCCTTCCTCCTGACCTCCCACCCTCCACCGCCTGCAGGGAACACGTCAGAACCCCAGACTGTCAGGTCCCCGGGAGCTCAGAGAGGCTGGGGAACCTATCTAAACACACACAGCAACCAGTGGCAGAGCCCACCCTACCACCCAGGGTCCCAGAATCCCAGACCTGCCCTTTGCCCACTCAATGGAGGCTGGATAAACAGTCAGGCCAGGAAGCAGTCAGGGGAATCTCAACCTCGCACTTCCGGTCCCACAGTCTTTGCTGATATCAATATGGATACCAACCACAGGAACAGCTGTCATTTATTGATCCCTTACTAGGCATCAATGAAGTTAATAATGGTGACAGCAGCAATAACACTTGCAATGATGCAGCAAACATCTGCTCAGGGCCAGCACCACACGGAGCCCCTCCCCCATGTCAATGCCCTTCACCTTCGCCATGGCCTAGAAGGTGGCTCTTGGGGCCCATGTGCTCCGGCATTGAGATCCCCCAGTCTCACAGAGGGATCAGGCTGTGTCACAGCCCAAAGTCTCTCCCATTCCCATTTCCTGGGGGACACCTGAATGGGGTACGCAAAGGCCACAAAGAATCCCACTTCGGTTCAGGTCCATTGTGCCACCAAATGAGCTGCAATTTTTTTTTTTGCAGGGTGAGAGCGATTTCAAAATGGTTTGGGGTTTCAGAATTGCAGACAATTGTTTATTGCCATTTGACTCACAAGGCAACCGAGGCCCAGAGAGGCTAAGTAATGTGCTGAGGGTCTCAGTGCAGAGGTTCCAACATGGGTGGTGACTCTGGAGTCAGACTGGGCCACCTCTGTGTTTTATAAACACGTTGCAGTCGGTGCACCTGGGTAGTGGTGGGGGTGAGGGTGGGGACCAGGCAGGTTTATTCCTGATTTATAATCGAGGAACCCAAGGCCGGAGAGCCCACATGACTTGTCCAAGGACCCAGCTGCCCTCGTCTCTGCCCTGGAAACGAGGGGCAGGAAAGACAGATGGCAGCTCGGGGGCTCCTTCCCTCCCACCTGCCCAGGGGGCCTGGAGAGGGGGGAGAAGCCCCCTGCCGTGGAACAGGCCTTTCCTTCAGCCTCCCCCCACCCCCAGCTGGGCCTCATCTGCAGGAATAAACACCATCAAGGGCATGTTTAGTCTTTAGCTGGGATTTACAATGTGTCGGGAAAGAAAAAATAAATCATTCATTCCAACTTTGGGCGATAGGGTGGCGCCAGAACTTCCCCAGAAAAAACAGAAAATTTCCCTTGCCTTCCAGAGAGGAGGTGGGTCGAGGGGAGGGGGCTGGGACCAGGAGAGAGGGGCATTGAGCCTGGGAGTGGTGGTGAATGAGGCAAAGAAGGGGACAGATTGGGGGGGGAGGGGGGCAATGGTAAGATATGTACACATATAATACCTTAATAAAAAAGAAAAAAAAAGAAGGGGACAGAGTCTAGCCTGGAGTCAGGAGGGGCGATCCTCCCCCCGCGCCCCCCCCCCCCCCCCCGGAACTGGGGACACCTCGGAGGTGTAGCTCCTGGGCATCAACCAAGCAGAGAGACTGTACCATCCTGTGGGCAGGCGGCGTGGTGCAGGGGGAGGTGTGGGCCTCGAGGCACAGGAAGTGGAGGGAAATCTCCACTCTGACACCTCCAACCTGCGGGTGCCCGGACCAAAAGTCACTTTGCTTTTCTGGGCCTCGGTTTCCTAAGGTGGAAAATGCTTGCAAAACTGTGACGTGTGTCAAGTTATGAAGTCGGCTCCTGGCGTGTGGTTGGTGTCCACAGATGGGCACCACCGTTATGACTGAGAAATGGGGAAACACACAGGGGTGAGAAGGTGGACTGCCCTGACACTCTGCAGAGCTGACTAGTTTCTGAGTCATAGGAACCACTTCCTGGGAGCCCAGTTCTGATCTAACCTGATGATATGTGGCTGACTGAATCCCAGAAAAGCCCCAGGGACTGATCCTAAAACTCTGTCCCTGGAAAAGGACAGTCCCTGCCCTAAGCATTTGCTTCCTGGGTGATGGCCAAACAAGCTTCCTTTCATCTATGGAAACTCTTTCCCCTTTTTGCCTTGACTGCAAGGAAGCTCAGTGTCCCAGTCAGCCCTCAGTGACATGAGAACCTCATCCCATGGCTTCAGGAACAGTGGTCTCTCTCTCTCTCTCTCTCTCTCTCTCTCTCTCTCTCTCTCTCTCTCTCTCTCTCTCTCTCTCTCTCAGTGTGCATTCTGATCTCTCTAGTGTGGTTTTCGGTAGGAAGTCAGGGCCAGTCCTCCTGGGAAGCAGGCTGGGTGTGGATTGTAAACAAGTAAAGCGGATTCACGTAGGAACCACCACAGGGAAAAACTTCACCCACGGGGACCCAGAAACCAGGTTGTTGGGGTTTGAATCTCGGCTCTGCCATTTACTAGCTGTGTGACTTTTGGCCAAGTTGCTTCACCTCTCTGTGCCTCAGCCTCCATATGTGAACATGAGGGTTTTCCCATCCATGATCCCAGGGAATTTCTGTGAGGATCGGATATTAAATGCAGCAAGTGAACACAGCATGCAGTTCCAGGCATGTTCTAAGTGCTACCTGTGGATGGTGTCATGTTTTCTCAGCTTCCTTCTGAGAGGGAGTGGAGGTAACTTGACCTTCCAATGGTAAGATGCAGGAGCCCACGTGGCTGCCGGCTCTGCACCTGCTCAGTGGACCAGAACTGTAGCCCTGGAGGAAGGCAGGCCCCGGCCTGGCGGGGCCCCCTCAATTCCCCCTGGAGCCTGGGAGCCTGAGCTCTCCCTGCTCTGGCCATTGACCTGCTGGGTGCCCTATGCCCTCACCCATAGGACGGGATTCTCACCCTTGGGAGAGCGTGGTGGGGATCAGTGAAAGAATGAATGCAAAGTGGCCAACACGGGCCCAGCATTGGTTTGTGCTGACCCAATGGAGGGATGGTGGAGGCCACGGTGACTACTGCTGATGTTGCTCCTGCTATTCGTCTCTCTGAGCATCTGCTTCCCTGTCTGACAACGCAACACTTACGGTAACAGAGCTGCTGTGAGGAGACACTGTGTGTGTAAAGCTTCTGGAAGTTACCATGTGCACACAGTAGGTGTTCCTTAAGTAATGGTGATCACTGCCATTGACTGGCTCACCCAGCAGCCACTCCTGGCTCCTTCTGTCCCTATCTTTGGGGTCAGAAAGCCCAATATACTCTCAGCCACCCTGAAAGCCGGGCTGCCTTGGTAACACAGTCTGGGGCACATTTTTAGGGGCACATCTTCTTCCCTGGATCTGGTCACAGCAGCACAAGATGGGGCCGGGGCAGCCACCTTGGGACCACAAGGCGAGTGGCATGCTATGGAAAAGCCATCACGATGCGGATGCTGAAGAGACAGCCAGGACCACGGTCCCTGAGCTTCCGCACCTGACTGCTGGCTACGTCAACTGGCACCCTTAGAATTGAAGCCCGGTAAGTCTCAAGCTCTTTTTCTTCCTCAAAGCTGCATGCCCACCTCTCCTCTGACACAGGACCGGTGCTTTTATGGATAGTCTCCTCCCCGAGCCTCCTCTGTGGGGGCATGGGTTTCACAGTTGCTAAGGAGCCTTCACATCAATGGAAACGTTTATGGAGTCCTTACCACGCCAAGCACTCACATAACTCACTGAACCCTCCCAGCAACCCAAAGCGTTAGATTTCATTCTTGTCCCCCCGTTTACAGAGGGTGAAACGAGCAGCAAGAGGCAGGCAAGCGGCTTGCGCACAGAGGCTAAGGCCTAGAACGAGGTGGGGCGGAGGAGGGTCCTGGCCCAAGAGGGACTCTGCCCACAGACCCCGCCTTCCAGGCTAAGGGTCCGAGGGTGTAACCACAGGGAAACTGCCTGCACCCACTGGGATCTTCTGGGCCAGCTGAGGCTCCTAGTCTACCCCCATCTCCAGGTCTACCCCTCTCCCCCCACACACACACATACACACAGGGACGACCGATGCCGGCTGGGGACGGAGGGAGGGGTGTGTACCTTGTCCATGTTGAAAAAGAAGAGGACACCGGCAGCCACCTGGGCGATGAGGATCAGGAGGAGGAAGGCGAAGTACTGGGGACACAGAGCAGGCATGTTAGCTAGGACCTGGTCCCCCCCTCAGGAGCTCCCCACTCAGGCCGGGCCAGGCGGGCTCAGGACAGGGCAGGCGGAAGGGGTGTACTCACCAGCCCCAGCAGGCAGCGGACCTCGTTCACCGCACCCACGCAGCCCAGGAAGCCCATGATCATGGTGACGGCCCCCACGCCGATGAAGATGTAGGCACCCACGTTGAGTGACGGGGAGGAAGCCTCTGGGGGATGGAAAGAAGGGTGTCCCATCAGCCTGGCTGTCTTGCTCTCAGGAAGTACACAATCAGGGGCAGGGCCCGGAGGTCTGGGTGCTGGGTCAGCCTCCCAGCAAGGAACCTGCTCCTCGCCCCCTCGGAAAGCTGCCTGGATGTGCCTCCCCCCATCTATCCTCGCCGCCATCCCTGCTTTGCTCGATCTCCTCAGCACCATCCAGGAGTGAGGAGACGACCTTTGACTAATCTCTCTTGCTCCTTCCTGTCTGCCATCCCACGAGAATGAGAGCTTCTGGAGGGCGACTCGGTTGGCTCCTGCTGAACCCACAGATCCCACGCCGTGTCTGGCACAGCAAAAGGATGGGTGGACAGCTGCTGAGTTAATGAACCACGGACTGGCAGGTCCTGTTGGGGCCACAGACACCGCTGCCTGCCTGCCTCCTCATCCATAAACAAACACCAGCCTCTCCTGCCCACACCCTGTGCCTCCGGGGCTTCACGCAGGCCACCTCCAACTCTGACCTAACTCGGCACAGCCACTTCCAGCTGAGGGAACGGAGGCTCAGAGAGCACACACCAGACTGGGGTTTGGAAACCTGCGGACTTCCGAGCCCGCTCTTTCCACCAGTGCATGGGGGCACGTGTCCTGGCACAGGTGTGGCATTTATTCATTCGTTCAAATGTTGGCCAGGTGCTCACCACCTGCCAGACACTGTGCTGGCTGCTGGGGATGCAGAGTCAGACAGCAGAGGTTCCCACACCCAGGAGCTGACATTATGTGAGGTGGGGGACGGGGTGGGGGGGTGGTGGGGGGAGACAACAAGAAAACAATACAATCTTCTGGCTGCAGAAAGGGCCATGGAAGCACTAAGCCGGCTAACGCAGACAACTACAGCACAGGGAGTGAGTTGCCATGTGGGGAAGGCTGGTCTGAGCAGATGACATCCGAGCTGAGACAGGAAAGGAGAGGTCAATCGAATGAAGACCTCAAGTGAGGGGCAAAGCATTCCAGGCAGTGGGAACAGCAGGTGCAAAGGCCTGAGGAAGGAGTAAGCTTGATGTATTTGAAGAATGGAAAGAAGGGGGAAAAGAATGGACCAGCATGAGTGACAGGGGAGTGTGACAGGCGATGGTAAGAGTCCCTCCCCAGGACCATGGGCAGACAAAGCCCGCCCCTGTGAGTGGAGATGGGCAGTTCTGTGCAGGCATTGGACCGGCATTTCCCAAGAAGCCAACAGATCACCCAGGGCAGAGCACATATCCACCTCTGGCCTGTAGGCGTGGGGTACCCACTAGCCTGAGGCTGGGACACTCCAGGAGGTCAGGGCAAATGTGCCCCCACAGGCAGGGGCTGAGGGCTCACTCCCAGGAGGCAGCTGGGAGCAGAGGCTGGAGACCACACTAGCGATCGGAGGAACTTCCTAGGGATATGAATTCGGATTTCTGGGTGCAGCACAAGACTGCTGGAGTCTGCATGTTCCATGTGCTTCCACAGGGTGGGGGCACCGTCGGGGCTGGCCCAGGGAGAACACAGGCCTGCCCCTGGGGGGCCTGGGAGGCCACCAAGGGGGTTAGCGCTCTTAAGGAAGAGCCACACCGCTGGAGTGTGGGTGGGACGAGGGCCTGATCCAGCTCCACTTCCTGGTGGCAGACAGAATGTTCTGGAACTCAGGAAGAGCCTGGCCCACCCACCCCACTCTCTGGGTGCCAGGGCAGGGCTGCCTCTGTCTGGCTCCACACAGGCCCTGCTGGGTGAGGGTGGGGCTTCCTTTGGTTCCAGGCCCTCGCCGCCCTGGCCCTGGGCAATCTCCATGGGCAGCAGGAGCCCACAGATCTCAGTTTTCCTGTACTTCCTGGGCTTGGGTTCCGGCAGATCCTCCCAGCCACGGCTCCTGGAACAAAGGGAGCTGGCACTGATGGTGTGGGCAGCCCCAGCAAGGCCCTTTATCCATCGTCCTGCTTCACTTCCTCCACAGCCCGCGGGGGTGGGCTCACATCCTGATTGGTGCCCGTGCCCGAGGCCCAGGGAGGCTGAGAGAGGCAGCAGGCCAGGCCCAGGGCTGAGATCCCAACTCAGGCTCTGCCCCTGGGAGGCAGCTGAGCCTCGGGGTCCTGGTTTCTCAGAACATTTCGTCAAGACCAGTTCCTCTCCTCACCCAGGCCTCAGGCCGGCCCCTATCTGAGCCATTGGCTGAGGAGGGGACCTGTGACTATTCCAGGGAGACGCATCCGCTGGGTGGCAGAAACACCTTGATCTTTCTGGGCCAAGCAGGTACCAGCGAGGGCGAGGGAAGTGGCCAAACCGAAAGGGACCACAGGGAGGGAGCTCTAATCCCAGCTCTGCTGCCCACAGCGTCGGGGCACTTGGCTGGCACTTCCCTGATGGAGCGAGTCCTTATGGAATCGCATCAGAAATGCAGACACCAGGCTGTCCGGTCTGCACCCATTTCCCTGACCTCTATTTCTTTCTCTGTGAAAGGGAACAAAGTCCTGCTTCCTAAAAATCTTATAAGGATTAGATGGCATTGTTAATGCTATTCTTTAACAATTACAATTATTAGAAATAATGTAATAATTGTCATAAATATTAATCTTTAACAATCACTTAGTTTTCTGAACTCTTTTTTGAATATGGACTCATTTACCTTCTCACAGTCACCTAACGAGGTACATTCTATTGCTTCTATTTTACAGACAAAGAGGCACAGAGAGGTGAGGTCATGTCCCTGGGACCCCAGAGCTCACGGGCAGCAGAGCAGGGATGGGAACCAGCGGAGCCTGTGTCCGGAACCTGCACTCTTACCCCTTGCTCTGCTCACTGTGTGAGCCCTGTGAACCCGTGGCGTCCACAGAACTGCAGGGGTTCGGAAGTGGGGGGGGCTCGGGAGCCGTGCCACCTGGGCTTACGTCCCGGCTCTCTACCTTCTGGCCGTGTGTCTTCAGATAAGTTACTGCCCTCCCTGGGCTCAGTGTCCTCCACTGTGAAACCTGGGTAGTACTGTGGGGAGGATTTGATGAGGATTCACACAGCCTGCACATAGTAGGGCAGGAGCCCTGGGTTCCAGCTCCCTATCCTTGCTTGCGATGTGACTTAGCAAGTCATTTTCCCCTTACCAAGCTTCACTCCCCTGGCTGCCTGGGGAACCCCCCCGAGGAGCTTTGTAAAAACCATGGTGCTCCAGGCCCCGCTCACACCCTCGGGGCGGGCCCCAGGCCTGGCATTGGCAAGACACATAGTGTGCATCCAGGGGCCTCTGAAGTCTGGCCAGCTTGAGATTCTCAGATTTGAACAGGGAGGAAGCAGGAGGCGGTGGGGGGAGGAGGGGGAGTAGCGGGCAGTCCCTGGAGCCCTGGGGCGGAGTGCAGAGGGCAGAAAGGCGGTGGGTGCGCTGGGCCTCAGGACTCTGCCCTGTGGCACGGTGCCTACTGGGTGTGGGCCATGGCCCAGGAAGTAGTGAGCCTGGACTTAGTCAAGGCCAAGGAGGATAGGTCCCCTCTTGGAAGGGCACGGGAGTGTGAGCACCCGGCTGAGACAGGAAACCAGGACCCTAGCCCCAGAATAGGGGAGCAATCCGCTGCCCCCCAGAAGGAGGAAAGATTGACAGCCCCAGATCGCATGTGATGTGGCTGGAGGGGCGAAGGCCTAGCCCCCTGGGGCCACGGTGACAGGTGTGCCCCTCCATCACCCATCCCAGCCCGGTTCTGCTTTATTCAAATCGAGCAGCTGTCGTGGGCCCGAGTCCAAACCTGCTACCTCCACAGCTGCCGGGAGGGGAAGTGAGCCAAGGACGACACACTCGCCGATGGGAGTGGCATCACTGGGCTACTTGGGGCCATGTGCTCGGCTTCCCTCCCACCACAGGCGTCCAGGAGAGGTCAGTGCAGCAAGCCTGGTGGGCTTCCTGGAGGAGGCTGCGAGGAGACTGGGGATGGCTCTTGTCGTGTTGGGCGTCTTTCTTCCTGCTTCTACATAGTGGGAGAAGGGCCTTCTGTGTTGTGGCTCTCTCTCACCCTGTGCAGCATTTAGGACCAAAGCGCTCTCTGAGCACACGCCCCACACCTGTCCGTCATAAGCTGGGTGAACCTGAGCAAGGGACGGGAGTCCTTCGGACCTCATTTCTTCCTTTGTGAGGCAGGAAGAGTGCAGTTCCCACCTCACAGAGCTGTTGTGGGACTAAAACAACGGATGTATGCAACGTGCTTAGGCCTGTGAGCACGAACAACAGAAGTGGTAGCTGGTGCCTTCCTCCTCAGTGCACGTGCCCACCTGGACAGTGCCAGGCATACGGCAGGCACCTCATCAGCACCCGACAACCTGCCACTCCTGGCTTTCCTCCGTCTCTCTGAGCTGGAAAGGGGCGGGATGGCTGCCCACACATTGCTGAACGGCCAATGGAGGCTTTCTCAGGTCAGGGCGGAGGGAAGGGGCCAGGATGGGAGAACAAGCCTCCCCACCCCGCAGTGTTCTCCAGACAACAGCGCTTTGTCTGGGGAGGGAGAGAAAATTCCTCCCGGAACCCCCGCAGCAGCAGGGCTGGGAAAGTGACCAGCGGCCCTGGAGGTATAGTCCTTGAGGGCCAGCCCTGCCTGCGCCCGGCCCTCCCCTCAAGGCGGGCAGGGCAGGGGAGGAAAGCAGGGATCCTTACGCAGGACAGAGATGAAACTGCTCCTGTCGGCCAGGATCCACACCCCGAAGCCCAGGATCACTCCGCCCAGGATCTGGAGGAAGAAAATGGGGTGGGGGGGAGGGTTAACGGGGGGACTGAGAGTAGGTGGGGGAGAGAACCCTGCCCAGCTGTCCCTGCATCCCAGGCCAGGGGGATCCAAGGGAGCCACCACCATCCTTGCCCAACCCAGGATGTCCAAGTGGCCTCAGGCCCCGAACCCCAAGCCTCAGTGAACCCCAAGCCTCAGTGAACCCCAGCAATCCAGACAGCAGGACCATGTGTCACTGAAGACCAGAGCTGGGACCCTGAGGAAGGCAAACGGGGCATTTGCTTCAGGCGTTAAAAATGAAGGAGACGTCAAAAGATTTACCAAGATAAACAAGAGTTTACGGCAATTATTTAAAACAAAAAAAAAAAAATTAATGCCCCAAAAAATCCATGATGAACAAAATGACTTCTAAATAAAAAACAAAATGACTTCTAAATCCGTGTTACTGGTTTTCCCCTTTAAAAAAATAATACTTCTATTGATTTTTAGAAAGAGAAAGGGAGAGGGAGAGAGACATTGATGTGAGAGAGAAATATCTATCAGCTTCCTCCTTCTGCAATGCCCTACCAGAGATTGAGCCTGCAACCCCGGGCACGTGCCCTGACCTGCTAGAATCAAACCAGCAACCTTTCGGTGCATGGGACGACGCCCAACGAACTGAGCCACACCAGCCAGGGCCTATTTTTCCTTTTGACAAGGAGTGGGGGTGCCTCAGACTGCACAGCTTACTGGGAGGAAGGAGGTGGGCTTTACAGACCCTGGCAGTTAGGTTCCCAGAGACTCCTGAATCCCAGCCCTCCCCACCCCAAACCTTGCAGCACAGTTGGGCAAGCACCCCAGTGAGGCCCAAGATCTGTCCCTGTCACCTCAAACCCACAAGGGTGAGGGAGTCCCGGTCTCACCACCGCCTGTGCTCAGAGGGCAGGGCAGGGTAGGGAGAGCCACCCTCCAAAGAGGGATGAGAGGCAGGGCAGAACATTCCTCTGGGCAAATAAATCCCGGGCTGCCCGGCTAAACTCCTCGCTCTCCTGGGGAAACCCAAGGGAAGTGCCTGGTGCGGCCCTGTCCGTTCCTCTGCAGGTAAGTCCCATGACTGCAGCCTGAGAGGCAGGTATGGCAGGTCAGCCACCAGGTCATGCTGCAGCCAGAAAGGAGGCCGGGCCGGGAGGCTGACCAGAATTGGGGAGGCACCACGTACCCTCTTTCTCTGAGAACCAAGACTGGGGCCCCAGGACACACCCCACAGTAACCTGTTCCCCCCTCCCCCAGCCCTGCCAGAATCCTGCCCCTCTCCCCTGGCCAGGGCTCTCCAAAAGCTGGGGTCCAGACAGTCAGCATTCTTCCCCAGAAGCCCGTACCAGCAACCTCAGGGCTCTCTGATGTCAGAACAGCTGACGGGACAACCTATGAAGAGTCTGGGGTAAGGAGGGTGTAGGCAAAAATGTACACGTGTACACGTGTGCATGTGAGCCTGCACAGCAGCCGGAACGATATTTCCAGACCACAAGTCCGATCACGTAACTGCTTCCCACTGCGCATAACACAGAGATTAGGATCGCTCCGGGAAGCCCGCGGGTGAGGCCTGGGGAGGCAGCCTCTGTCCCCTTCCCCGCTGGCCTCGGTCCCTGCAGCAGCCGCCCTCTTTCCCGGCCTCACAGAATTCCGGGAAGCTCTGCTGATGGGCAGGCTGAGGTCACGCGCCTCATCTGCTCTCCTAGGGAGGCATCCTTCCTTCCCAGAACCTCCAACTGCGAGGTCCTCACCCATTTGAGTAAGTCTTGGTTTGGAGCCCACCACCGCCCGGACGTAAGCCCCAGGACCGGCTCTTCTGCTGGTTAGTGTGTACCTGGCACCCCACTGGGTGTGGATGCACAGAGGTGTCAAATACACATCTTGTGGATGAGCGAACAGCAAGCCACACAGGGCGGCCTCCAGCTCTCTCCTTTCCTTCTCCCCTCCCCACCACCTCTCCCCCCGCATCCTGAGGGGCCATTCTGGCCCCAGCACACAGGGAGTTAACAGCGGACTCCCGCCAGCCCCCTGGAGTAGCTGGGAGGGAGCCAAGCCCCAAAAGCAGCCCCAGGCTCTGGCCAGAGAGAATTTTCCAGGCGCTGCTTCATGGGGCTGCCTCGCAGAACAGGAAAGGACAGCCGGCCAAAACCATCAAGCCCAGGCCTCTCCCCACAAAGTCTCTACCCTCCCTCCTATGGCATGGGGAGAGGGGGTCTACCGTCCTGAACCCCAAGCCACGTCACCATCTAGGATATAGTCTAGACCCCTCTCTCCTGTGCCTAGAGCCCCCAGAGATGGAGCCACAGCACTCCCACCCCGTCCCCCACAGGCCCTAGAAGCCAGGGAGCCTCCTGCCTGCCGGGGAAGGCTTGGCTCAGGCTGCTGGGGCAGCTGCTTTCCAGGGACCTGGGCCAGCCAGGAGGGCCGGACTGCCAAGCTGGGGAAGCCCAGGTGCCCAGGCCCTGCCCCGGTGGCTTCCAGGCCTGGCTGCCGTCAGTGGAGGGCCTCAGCGTGGTCCTCAGGAGGGAGGAGGGGGCTGGAGCCAGGGTGGTCCATGTGCATGTGCATGTACATGTACATGTGTGACACGTGTGAGCTTACACATGCCAGGAACTCACTTGTAAGTATCTGTGTGTTGAGTTAAAGTCATGAGGAAGAATTTAGAATGATTCTTTACTTTCTAAACTTTCCCTAATCCTAGGTAACTTGTAATATAAAGCAATCCCCCCACCACCACCACGAGTAATTCCTATCTATTGTAGAAAATTTGAAAAATTCAGAGGCATAAAGAATAAACCCCAAATTCCTAGGAATCCAACATTAACATTCAGAGGTATTTTTTTCTCCTCTTAAAAATGTTCATGTATGTGTACAACTTTTAAAAATAAAATTGGTTCATAAGAAATATCCTATTGCAGAGCCTGGTTTTAACAGCATGGGGTGAACCAGCAGGGAGAGGCCGCAGCCTCCAGCTCCAGTCTGGGCTGTGAAGGCCCCTCTAGGTCACCCTCACCTCCACCCCATCACACACACTCATACATACGTTGTCGTGCACACATTCTCTCTCCCTCATACACTCACACACACATTTCTACTCATATACTCTCTACACACACACACCTACTCATACACTCTCACACAGACACACTCATATTCTCTCTCTCATACACCTACTCATACACTCTCACACACACTCATACATATGTTGTCATGCACACATTCTCTCTCCCTCACACACACATACACACACACTCCTACTCATATACTCTCTACACACACACCTACTCATACACTCTCACACAGACACACTCATATTCTCTCTCTCATACACCTACTCATACACTCTCTCACACACACGCTCATACACTGTCTCTCTCACACACCTACTCATACACTCACTCACACACACACACACCTCATACACTCTTTCTCACACACATTCATACACTCTCTCACACACACACTATCATCCTGGCAACTCCAAGGCAGAGGAGTCAGTCGGCGCCCGGCCAGCGAAGAGAACCAAGGCCCCAGGAAAACCAGGTCCAGATGTGCACGGAGCTCACATCTGGGCGTCCCCTGGCTCAGGGACCAGTGATGCCTGCCAGGATGGGTCTGGGGGAAGGGAACTGCACCTCCCCCTGGCCCAGAGCTCAGGCTCCTCACACCCTCTGGGACGGGCACATCCTGCACAATGCGGGTGGTGAGGGCAGCTGAGACCCAGCACTGTAACAGGCAAGTTCTCAGAGCGGCAGAGGAAGGTGGTGGTCCGGGTGGGACAAGAAGGGTTCCAAAGACACCCCCTCACACACAGTTCCCTGATGACAAGAATTTGTCATCCCCAACACCAGGCTCCAGCCCTGGCAGCCCTGCAGGGCCTCGATGCTCCAGAAGAAGGAGACGCTGGGCCAGGAGTCCAGGGCTCTGCATGGAGCCAGCTGAGCATGCCAGGAATCTCCTGCCCACCCGGAGCCGGTTCCATTTGGAATGGTCTGCCCTCAGCCTGCACCTACCATGCCCCACCATCAACCCAGGCCTGGCAGCTCGGAAGGGTCTCAGGCTGGGATGCAACAAGAGTCCTGTTGGCCATACTTACAAAGAAGAGCAAGTTGAAGAGGAAGAGGAAGTATTTGATGACTTTGACACAGGCTGACCCCATCCTGCGGCCTTGGAGCTCCCTGTGGAGAGAGGAGGCAGGTAGGTCAGGGCAGGGTGGGACTGGGCGGGGCAGGAGGGAGAGGGAACCAATGCTAGTGGGCGCCAACCATCTAACAACAACCCATGGAGGTAGTACTAATGTGATGTCCCATTTTATGGCACTTTGAGGCCCCAAGAGGTTAGATGACTGATCAAAGCCGCACAGCTGGGAGGTATGGTCCTGAGTGGTTTCAGCTGCTAGATGTTTGGCAGTCAGTGTCTGAGTCAGCCACTCTACTGGGGCCGGGCCTGGAGAAAAATTATATGAAGAATCTCAGGGTTTGGGACTTGCCTACATGGGCTCCTGGAAGTCCAAAATGTTAATGAGTGTCTGCTGGACACCCAGAGGGTGAGAGATCCCTGGCTTGTCCCACGCATTGTCAGATCCCCTCAGACACCACTCATGCTTCTGAACAGCACAAACCATGCTTAAGCATGCTGTGACCCTTTACTCAGGACCCTAGGCCAGGGCAAGACTGGGGCGGAAGGGGAAAGCTGCAAGCTGGCTGCCCCTGTGCCCTCCCCCAGGCCAGACAACACAGGAATGACGGAACCAGAGCCAGGCAGCCAGGGCTAGAGCCAGGCTGGGGGTGGGGGAAGCAGGCACCAGAGCCAGCCATGTTCCCACCACCCTGTGAAAGTAGGAGCGGGGTGGGTGTGGAGGTGGGGGCAGGCACAGAGCAGAGAGAATAGGGGCTCGGAGGCCCTTGCAGGGTGAAGGGCATCTTAAGTCATGGGAATCTCCCCTGTCCATGCGGAGGTCCCTCATGTGCTCTGGCCATAATTACAATCTTCCATCATCCCTGCCAAGTGGAAGCTCGGCTTCAACTTTACACAATTTCAGCCAGAGACGGGGGAGGGGGATGGGGACAGGAGAGAGGGATGGGGGAGGGCCCCGTCCAGTGTCCTGACATCCCTGTCTTTAGCAGCTGCCTATCTAGAGGTCAGATTTGGGCCCATGAACCAAAGCCCCCGAAAGAAGGGAAAAGGCTGCCTGGCTGGTGGTGAGCGCCCCATCACAAGCGCCATGGAAACACAGTCTGAGTCAAGACATGGGGGGTTCGAGTGCTCCATGGGGAAATTAGACGAAACGGCTCTTCCAAGCCACAGGGGCCCACGGTCTGGGTCTGAGAAGTGGAAAGAGGGCAGTGACTTAGGAACCATAGTCCAGCCTTAGCAACCCTGCCCCCCCACCCCCCCGCCAGACCCTGGGGAGAGAAAACAGGCCGGCCACCCCCATGTCAGGAGACACAGAGATCTGAGAGTAGGCCTGCGGGGGCCAGGGGGTTGAGGGGAGGACGGTCTGCATACAGGAGAGCTACTGTTTTCCTTCGGCCCCTCCCAGCACAGCGCCTGACACCCCGCAGGCTCTGCAGACACTTGCAGGGAACAAACAGCCAGGGAGGAAGGTCCTCCTGTGGAGGGAGGCTTGCTTTTCTCTCCTCCCTCCTCCCGGGACCGGACCGGCTGGCCTGCCTGTGTTTTTTCCCCCGTGACACGTGATGCCTGCACCACGGGCGGACACAGGCCCGGCCAAACGGCCGGCCCTCCGGGAGATGAAATAGTCGGAATTTCACCAGAAGAGCTTTTCAGTAACCACGTCCTAGCGTGGAGGGGCCCAGAGGCGGGAGCGGCGGGCCAGTGGGTTCTTGTGAAACTGGAGACGTGTGGAAACAGCCCTTTGGCAACGGCAGCGGCCTCGGAGCCTGGGAAGGGACTCTGTACACTTTCCGGCTCCCACATCCTCTTCTCGGGCCAGGTGTTCCCGGCAGCTTTTAAAATGTTTTTAAAATGTTTTTTCTTTTCCATTGATTTCAGCGAGAGAAAAAGGGGCAGGGTGGGGGGCTAGAAACATCAATGATTTGAGAGAATCATTGATCAGCTGCCTCCTACGCACCCCACATCAGGGATCAAGCCCGCAACCTGGGCATGTGGTCAGCGCAGGCTGGGAACACACCCATGTCTCCCCCGATGGTGTGTGGCATCAACTTTAGGGAGCCCACCACCACCACCAGGCCCCGAGGAGTCTCCAAAGTTGGAATCAGAGGGCGTGGGGTTCCATTCTAGCTTCCCCTTCTCATACTGAGGGGTCTGAGCCTCAGTGTCCTCATTCACAGATATGAATAAGAGCTAGGGTAGGACAGGGGTTGGCCTGCCAGGCCGGGGGATCAAACCCAGCCCTCACCTCTCCCCCATGTTTGTATGGCTTACAAAGTAAGAACAGATTTTACATGTTTAAATGGTTGTGGGGGAAAAATAAAAAGAAGAGTACTTGTGACACATGAAAATGAAATGCCGATGTCCATAAATAAAGTGGGCTGGCACACAGCCACACCCTCTCGTGTGTCTAGTCAGAGGCTGCTATGGCGCTGTGGGGGCAGGGCAGCTTCGGCAGACCCTCAGCCCACAGAGCCCGACGCATTTCCTGCCCGGCCCCTTATGGAAAAAGTTTGCCGGTCCCTGTTGTAGGAGAGCCAATGATGGTGACACAGGATCCCTAGACAAGGTGCAAACCCTGGCTCTGCCCGTCCATGGCCACAGGGAAGGACTTCCGGGGCCTCGTTCTCTTCACCTGTAGCGTGGGGCTCCGAACTGAAGCCCCTGTTATGAAGGCCCCTGTTATGCAGACAGTGAGGTCACAGCTGGCAGTAGGACTCAGTGAGCGGAGCTGGCTAAGCATCTATGCTGGGCCTTCTGGAAGGAGTGAGGGTGAGCGTCTCCTTTGCAGATGAGATTAAACAGAGAGCCTCTCCCGGGGTTATGCTTCCTTGTATACACTTTCTGTAAACACTGGAGGGTCTGCCCAGGCTTTCCTATGAGGATGTCTTAACAAAACAAGCACGTTTTACTTGGGAAGTTCCAGGACCGTCACTGACAGCTGTGTGAGTGGTAGGAGGAAGAAGGTACTGATTTTATGTTAGGCTTTGGTGCAGGTAAATCGACCATTTCTAAGCATCTATCATTTAAATCGACCACATATATCATTTTATGCCAAACCATTCTGTACAGTGAAATTATTGTGCTAATATATTATTAATTCCTACTCATCCTTCAGTCTCACTTCAGACATCCACCCCCTCCAGGAGCCCTCTTACTCCAGCCAGTCCTCTCACCACGGCCACGGCCACGGCCACAGCCACCCCTCCCCGGGAGCCAGCACACGTTGGTTCCGGGCACTCCTTCTCTGCTCCCCTCCAGTAGCCCTGGGTGCTGGAACGGTTCCCAGAACAGGCTCTGGCATCAGACTGCCTGCATTTGAATGGGAGCCTATCACCTCCTCGCTGTGTGCCTTTGACAAAGAAATTCACCTCTCTGAGCCTCACCTGACTCAACTGGGAAAAGAGGGAAATGAAATCTAGTTGGCAGATTTGCTCAGACGATGTGGGTAAAGTATCTGGTAGGCTTTCAATAAATGGAAGTTACTATTCCACCTCAGAAAGCTGTCCAGTAATTTTCCACTCACTTGTCCATCTCCCCTACGGGTTGTGGTACTTTGAGGGAAAAAACTGTGTATTATTTATGAGAACAAAGTAGGCTCCTAGAAAATGTTGCCAACTAGAGCATGGGTGGATCGAGGGCTAGGAGGATGGAGGGAAGGAGGGAGGAGGGATGGAAGGATGGAGGGATGGATGAAGGAATGAATGGATGGAGAGGTGAAGGGGAGAGAGAAGAAATCCCACATTGAATACCAGGACTTCCAAGTACTCAGCCACCTGAAAGGGGTTGAGACCCACTGCCCCTGGGTCAGCTGAGACTATTTCCAGGCCTCTTTTGTCCTCGCCCAGGGCTGAGTGGGGGTTGCGTAGGATGAGCACCCAGGGCCAGCTCTGAAAGTCAGACCCATTTCCAAGGCTCCCTTGCTTTCCCCAGAGCCCCTGCACCTGTAGAGGAGGAGGTTTGATTTGTCCCTTGGCTGAGGAGGTAGTCTGACCCCAGAACTTGGATGTCCCAGCCTAGCCTTGGGGACATTGGGTGGGGCCTGCAGCATTGTGCCTCAAGGCCCGGAGTCAGGAGGTGCAGACTGACGCCTGCTCTGATGGGTCACTCAGTATGAAACCTAGCACAGGTGACTGTCCCCACTCCCACCCTCCACCCTTCACGCCCACCCCACCCTTCTCACCTGTTGAATGGCAGGACCAGAGCAGTGTTTCAGGAGTAGTTCCTCCGAATACGAGTCCTAGGAGATCCCTGTGAAGAACAAAAAGTTTTGCTGTCACCAAGTTTGGGAAGGAACAGTTCTCTCCAAGAGTGACCGTATATCAGGCTCTTAAGGACTCCAACTGGCTATAAACACCGCTGACTTAAAACCATTGTTCACTTAATAGCCCTTCACACCATGTGGAACACATCCTGGTAAGCTCTCGAGGTCTCTGGAGGGGGTGGAGGGTGGGGTGCTCCAGGATTCTAAGTACCGTGGGTTCAGAGGGGATGAGATGGCCCTCCAGCTGAACACCTGGGAGCCTCAGGCAGGTCTCTGCCTCCTCCCCTTTTCCCACAGCCCAATCCAGGGCCCCTCCCGGCCCCTCGCCTCACCTCCCCCTGGACCAGTACAGTTCCCTGGCTGGTCACGGGTCCCACTCCTGCCCTTCCCCACCTGTTATCCACACCCCAGGAAGGGCTTTGCAAAACGTAAGCCAGATCTTGCCATTCCCCAACCCTGCAGCCCTGCAACGGTGATAAATCCGAGAGGCTTGCTAGTGCATCCATGCTCTATGTAGCCCCCGGAGCCCTGCCTGGTGTCCCCTGCTCCCCTCTGTCCTCAGCACCTCCCCCTTCCCACACACACGTTCATTCCTCAGGCCATAAAAGCCACGCTTTCCTGTTGTTCCAGTAGAGCAGGCCCTTGACCGGCTTCGTCTCCCACGACCACTCCTTCCCCCCATGACCACTCCTCCCTGCAAACCCCAGGCTGGCTCCTAACCTCCTTGTAGGCTGAGCTCCTTCCTCCCACAGGCCTTCCCC